CGGCAACTTCTCTCACTTAAGGCAGCCTCACCATATGCTTCTACAAGCAATCGATGCGCCTCAGCTGCAGATTTCTTCAAATTAAAGAAATAAATCAAAAGCTCCCGCAAATGATGCTTATTCAGCTCAAAACTCGACATTTTTGCACGAAAAAAGATATAAAGTGCTGATGCAAAATCGCTAATATTTTAAGGTTATGTTCTTAGTGAGCCAGATGTCCAATCTTACGATATGACGTTTTACAGCTGACAATTTTAACTATAACATACTGGTAGCGCCATTGTTTGTCAAACGGCGGAAATTTATTTATACTCCCAATACAATCAAGAGAGTCAGCGTTGATTACACGCCGCCTTGGCGAACGAGCCTTCCTTACAAGGTGACACCAGCCATCTGTCACAAAACAAAAACACATCCGAATAGGGGACCTTGAAATTATATTCGATTCCCTTGCGAATAGCTCATCGGCGATCTCATTGCCGCGAATGCTAGTGTGAAGAGACTCATATGAAATTGACTCGGGTATTATTAAACTTAGCCTCTTCGACTAGGGCTTTAGTGTATGAGATAATAGAATTATTTATTCTGTTGTAGGATCCTTCAAGTCGCGAACATTTTTCGAGTCCGAAACTATAGTCACTTGCTCTAAATTGTCATGTAGAGTTATAAGCATTATATAATATAATATAATATATGGCCTAAAAAGCCTCGGCTGTAAAAACAGGTGGAGGACAGTTTATACATCTCTTTCAAATTCAGCTGTGGAGAGTAAACCGCGGAGCCCATATACATATATGTCTTCATCGATCTTGGTGCCATCTGTACAAGAAACGGTGAAACCGCTTAAAATATCTCGAAATGTGTTATCGAAAATGAATTGCATGGTTTATATGGAGATTGACTTTAAAAGAGATTCCTAAGAATTTAAGATGGCAAGATTGAGTATGTGATGTCGGTAAAGGAGGAATGGAAGGAATTCTGAAATATTGGGAACGAAGAAAAGATGTGCATCTGATTTTTTCTCCACATGCGAATGAAAATGAGGACCGCAGGATAACGATCACTAAGATATGCAAGCTGGGATAAAGTCTAAATCGAGTCATGCGGAAATAAAAGTGTATTCACCATCGAGTGATCTTGGATGGAAATGATTTTAAGAAAATATGTAGCTGCCAAGTAGTCAAATCATTGTTTCAAGAAGTTCTTTGGTTTCTGCATGCATGACATTTATCGAGGTAGAGACAATAACCACATGCTAAACGTAGGGCATGATTTTGTACGCGTTGTAATTTAAATAAATTCTGGTTATCCTTAAGTGCAAGAATAAGGGATGCATATTCAAAGGACGCACGAATCATGGATCTATAAATAGAGAGAAAGAGATTTAGATTAGCTCGTCACCATGTGCCCCTTAAAGCTGATGTAATTGAATTGCGTCTATCTTTACATATAACATATTCCATATGTTTTTTTCCCGACAATTTAGGATCCAAAACGACTCCCAAAAATCTTACCGAATCGGAAGAGGGAATAATTTCCACCAAATTAACCGAGAGATTAGTATGAGCAATTTTCTTTCTTTTTAAGAATACCATCATCTGCGTTTTATTAGGGGATATTTCGAGACCTCTATTCATTAAATATAATTGTATGTTGTTCAACGTTCGTTTAACAGAGTTTCCGTGCTATCTTTAGAAGCATAAATGACTGTGTCATCGACAAACTGAAGCAGAGAGGTTAGGATCCAGAACGTTATTGATTTAGATCTGAGGTAGATGTTAAACAAAGTTGGGCTAAGGACGAAACCTTGTGGAATTCCCTTGCGTGAGAAGATAAGAAGCCTTGAACAACAAACTAAATGTTATGCAATTCGATTAAATTATTGAATTAATGAATTTGAGAAGACGCGGGGGGAGACCTAAGTCGATGAGATCTTGAACCAGAATATGTAGGAGAACATTGTCAAAAGCTGACTTTATGTTTATAAAGATGACTACAGTCTCTTGTTTTTTTTATGAAAGACGTGTGGATATGTGCAGTGAGAATAGTTAAATTATCATGGCAGGATCTGAATTTTCTGAATCCGGTTTGGTTATCGGGAATGAGAGACGCAAGAGAAGAGGAAGGAGATTCTACAATCCAGTAGAGTCTATTGAGTATTATGCGTTCCAAAACCTTCAGCGCACAAGATGTAAGAGAGATAGGTCGGTAGCCTGATCCATGCGGCTTAGAGATAAGATATAAACAAATGGGTCCATTGATCAGGGAAGGAGGAGAATTGAAAAAGCAAGTTAAGTAAGTTTAAAAAGCATAGTAAAAGCTTTTCAGGAAGGATTTTAAGTAGGCGGTAGCACACGCGATCCAGACCAGGGTTGGAATCAGATTTAACTGAGTTCAATGCTGTTTTAATTTTATTAAAGCTGAATGGAGAATCCAGCTAGGCGAGGCGGCACCCCATACGCTTAGGAATAAAAGGAGACAGCAAGATGAAAGATCGAATTTGTCGATGATTTTCTGTATCTTAACGGTATTTTTACTATTATGAATAAAGTGCAATTTGCTCTCAGCGGACAAATGCCGATTTTTGAATCGCTTAAGTATGCGCCAAACCTCCGGGAAGGGAAATGACTAAGATTTTCGCAGAAATTTCTCCATCCTTTACGTTTAGCTCTGCAAAGGATCTTTCGTGTTTGATAGACCACCTCACGGTACGTGTCATAGTTCTCAATGGAAGATACCAATTTTTAAGCTTTAAAAAAAGAGGAACAATTTTTAACATTGCACTGCGGCATCCAAGAAGCCGCAGAGAGGCCATAAGAAGGACGGTCCCCCGCTCTTGTAAAAAACTTGGATTTTTTCGGTATTTTCTGGTGGGAAATACGATTTATATAAGACATAATACGCTGAATGAAAGTGTTATAACCTTGCACCAGAGAGCATGATAATGCTAAAGAGGAGGATGATTCTTTGATGATGTCTGCGGTATGTTCCTCCTACCAGATTCTGACGCATTGTCATTGAATCCGAGAAAGACGAATTTTATTAGAAAAGGTATTGACCGAATGGGCAAGCGAGTTGATCTCAATAAAAACTGGGAAATGATCACTACCATGCAAATCCTCGCAACGTTACAGATAGAAAAAAGTTTAGGGGAGGAAAAGACGAGGTTGGAAATCGAGGGGACCTTAGTGGGATGAGGGAGAAAGGTATATACGGAGTCGGGGTTTAAACAGGAATCGATCAAATCAAAGAGGCTCGAGCCAACAAAATTAGTTTTAAGGAAGTAGTCCCTATAGGGAGTGGTGAGCGTTAAAATCTCCCACCAGAAATACCGAGTTAAACTGAAAGAGAAAAGCACGGAAGAAATTGATGATGCACTTAGGAAAGGGATAATTAGGATGTCGGTAGACACCTATGATGCAAAGCTCAGATTTTTTTAACTTAATTCGGATTGCAAGAGTCTCCAAAGATGAGAGAAAGTTGAATTGTCTATGGGAGAAAACTGGATTGTGCGGCGAGCGAGGATAAAGATTTTTCTGACGTCATTGATGGACGAGTCGAAACGAAGACGATCAAATCCCCTGATCGAGAAGATAAGACTTGGGTTCAGGCATGTAAAAATGATAATATCTAGGTCTTCTGATAGTTTTTCTATCTCGGGTCTTTTGAAGTAGGCTCCACGACAATTCATTCCAGAATAGCAATCTAAGAGAGTGAGAGCTATTGTGTGGCTGGATATACGCCGAAGAATTATTGACCATTGTGTGTGTTGTTGTTAAAGGTTTCAAGGGATTCATGGATTTGACAAAGGAATTTTCCATTTCCTAAATGTGGGTCATTAATAATTACTGGGTTACGTGTGATCATATTTTGTATTAAACTAATTAGTGTGTTTATGAGGCTGACAAGGTACATATGAAAGCTGTTTTAACTGATGGATGGAATGAGGAAAAGGAAAAGAAGAAGGGGGACGATGAGGGGGGAAAGAAATTGGAGGATGAGAGGGATTGGGAGAAGGGGTATAGGAGAATGAGACAAATATTGATTTTCCCATCTTCCATAAGGGGCAATGAGACACGCATTATGCGCGTGGCGTGAATTCCACTTCGTCTTTCCTGTCGCCGTAGAAGGGTATAAGGAGACGCGAGGAGGGAGTTGTTTAGCATTGTGGATTATGTTGATGTGCAGAAATCAAAAGGGGGGAGTGGATTTTTTCATTGTACAGCGGTTTCCCGTTGCATGGGTACGTACCTACCGGAATTCCGGATTACAGGGTGCGGCGCCAAAATCCGGACAAATTTCAAATTGAAATTCCCTCCGTTCAATACCATTGGTAGATGTCGCGATTGGCAGTCAAATAGCTTGACGCATGTACTAAACCATCATAACCTCGAAACAGTCGCAATGTTGAAACCAAGTGCGGAGTACAACTGAAGAGCCGCGATTATCGAAAGTATTCGCGCCGGGCGCTCGGCGACAGAAATCATTCGGTTTTTCGGGTATCCGAGATCGACTGTGTATGATGTCTTCGCAAAGTATCATGAGTCGGAGAAGTCCAACGAAGGTTCTGCAACACCGGCGAGGAAATTCCACTCGAAGGAGGGCGTTTTTTTTAACAAAGGGGAAAATGTCACAAAAGAAGTTTATTTGCGTGTTCTGACAAATGTAGTGAAGCCGTGGATGGAAACTGTGTCGGCTGGAAAGCCATATGTTTTCCAGCAGGACGGTGCGCCCGCCCACACAAGTCATTTGGTGCAAAATTGGTTGTCGGACAACGTCGACATGTTTTGGTCGAAAGAATTCTGGCCTCCCAACAGCCCAGATTTGAATCCTTTGGACTTCTACGTATGGGGCGTGGTTGAAAGGGTCACGAACAAGTCCAGACATCCAAACGTCGCATCATTGAGAGCCGCTATTGAAGCGGCATTCACCGATATGGACCGTGACGCATTAAAGTATGCCTGTGCACGCTTCAGACCGAGAATGGAGGAGGTCATTCAAGCAAGCGGGGGATATATTGAGTGAATATGTTCTTTATGGCCTTACAAACAATGGAGCTAAACAAATTTTGTAAATCTTGTCATTGTAGCAATAAAACATGTTTAGAAAAAAATATATAATTTGTCCGGATTTTGGCGCCGCACCCTGTAGATCTCACCAGATTGTAAGGATTAACGTTGAAGTAGGAAGGAGAAGAAGAAGAAGAAGAAGAAAGGGGAAGAAGGGTATCCTTGGAGAAGGAAATCGGGAGGAGAGTGAGGAAGGAAGGGGAAATCAGAAGGTGATATAGAGGAGAAAGAGGGGGAAAGGATCTGAAGAGATTTCCAATTTGATACGAGCCTTGGCATATGAAATGTTCTCAAAAACCGCGTACTGGTAAACTTGCCTCTGATTCGCATATATAGAACATTTTATGGAGAATGGGAAATGTTCCTGGCCGCAATTACAACAGCGAGGAGGGGGAGGGGAGAAGCTGATGACGTGGGTATTCTAATTTAGAATGTCTATTCTGGTCGCATTTAGTGCAGCATGCAACACTCTTACAGCCAGAGCTAATGTGCCCAAATCTTAGGCAGGAAAAGCACATGAGTACCCGAGGGATTTACGCAGTACCGAAAAAAAAACGAACGGTAGACGGAAGGAATTGGCTTTGAAATTTTACCATCACCGAATAGAGAGAAGTTTGTCCTTGCCATCTTTATGCTTCTTGCGGCAAAGTCTGCGGACCGAAATGATCTTAGCAGCCGAGGTAAATTCTTTACAAATTGTTTCTTCAGAGATGTCAAGGGAGATGTTGTTAATGACGCTAGATCTCGTTACCTTAAAAGCAGGGATCGAAGCTTTCAACTAGTGGTCTTTGAAGGCATCAAATTGAACAAGGTTGTTAGCCTTTTTGTAATTATTAAAGGAAACGGATACTTTATTCCGCCCAGCAGACCTTACTTCAATGATATTATTATTACCGCCTAATTTCGTAACTAACCCTGACTATAAAGGGCTAAGGCGAGCTTTGTCATTATGCAAAATTTTCTGAATCGTGATTACGTACGGAGGAAAATCTTTCAAGGTGCTATACGTCCGCAAAGATTCTGGTGAGGGGGCGGACTTACTGGTAAAGGGTCCGTTCAGTGTTTTTAAGGGAAGTTCTTTTGTTGTACTTTCTTCTTCTTGAGCGTTTATTCTGTACGCGAGGCAACCCATCAGCCAGTAATGGAGAAATCATCATGTTGCACTCTGTTCATCACTGTCTGGTATCGGATTGACTTTGTCGAGAGCTTGAAGAAAGCGTCGAAGTATTCAATATGTCTGATATATAGGAGGAGTCCTACCAAAAAAAGGGGAGAGCGAGATCTCTCCAGGTTCTCGCAAATAACCAACTGAGGGGACATTGAGTTTCTTTGTTTGCTCTGAAATCGAAGATGATCTTACTTTACAAGCTTTTTTACCCTTCTTTCCTTTAGACATTTCGGGAGAGGAATTCTCAGACGATGATTTGAGAAATGTCGAGGCATTCGGTACATCTAATCTATAAGGAGACAAAGTCATAGATTGTGAAAACTTATTCCTGGCTTTTTCGAAAAAGTTGTCAAGTTCTTCAAGAGAAACTGATGTTTTACTCGTGCCCGGATTGAGGGAA